TTCATGTGAAATCAAAAATAAGCGTGATAACTCAATGATAAGATTTCACTCTCACCCTTTCTCGAAAAATATCGATTCTACGAAATGAAAGTCATCCAAGGTTGAACCCAAAACCATACCTCAAAGTCACCTTCTGACGTAGTTCAAGGGTGTGACGCAGGTGAAGGTCGTTCAAAGTCGAACTCAAAAGACTTCTTCAAAATCACCTTGTCGACATCGTGTGACGTATGTAGAGGTCATTTCGATGTTAAAAGTGTCTTGCGACCCCCCACCACCACAACTCAATGCGTTGACAGATGGCGATACGAGCAAGCAGTGGTCGTTGGAACTTCAGGGAGTGTAGACGTGTGCACTCTTTGTCACGATAGATACCATCCAAACTGATTAGGAAGGACCACTAGTCAGTGAATCTTTGTGGTATGCAGACGTATGTTTATTCTGTACTAACTGGTACCGAGTACACATGAAGGACAATGTTAAACCTTAACTTTACCGTGTATGCAATCTAGTTTCAAGGTCAAAACTCAAAGTCACATACCCGAGACAGACTAAAATATCAAGGTCAATCCCCAAGGTCATGCGACTTTGAACATCGTTCGAAATAGCCGTGAAAATATAAAGTGTGAATGAAAGTCATTCAAGGTCAAACCCAAAACACTCCCTGAAAGTCCCCTTGTCCGCGTTACCTTGTGACGTAGTTCAAGGGTATGACGTAGATGAAGATAGTTTAAGGTCGAATTCGAAACACTTCTTCAAAGTCACCTTGTCGACATCGTGTGACGTATGTAGAAGTGATTTCAAAAGTAAAAAATGTCTTCGAAATAGCCGCGTGAATCAATGAAGGTGGTGAAAATATAGAGTGTGAATGAAGGTCATTCAAGGTTGAATCCAAAACACTACCTCAAAGTCACCTTGACTGAGTCGCCGCCATGTAACGTAGTTAAGGGTGTGAGGTAGATTAAGGTCGTTCAAAGTCGAAGCCAACAGGTGATCCCCACCACCAATTTCAACTCGATGCGCTGACTGAAGGCGATACGAGCAAGCAGTGGTCGTTGGAACTTCACGGAGTGCAGACGTGTACACTCTTTGTCACGATGGGTACCGTCCAAACTGGTGAAGGTCTGCTCATCAGTAGATGGATCTTCGTGGTATGTGGACGTGTGTTTATTCTGTACAAACTGGTACAGAGTATACATGAAGGACAATATCAAAGCCTGACTTTACCGTGTATGCAATCTAGTCCCCTAATCTCAAAGTTGAATTCCATGTTCAAGGTCATGTTTCATGAACATGACTGAAGGACGTCCTTTAAGGTCAATTGAAGTATGCAGACATATGTTTGTACATATACACGCACATGATAAACCCTGTACCGTGCATTCACACACACCATACAAATGTAATTACGTCATTATGTCACACACAAAATCTCATAGGAAAAAAATTCTGAATGATACATGCACCAGACACTTCAAGGTCACACACATCGCCTTGATTTTACTAAACAAAAAAAAGCAATTAATACGTCATAGTGGTGGGGGGAGGCCTTTAACGGCTGCAATCTACTACTGCAAAGAATTGGAAGCAGTTCGTGAAGTTGAAATTGTTAGTACTGTCAGAGGCTTCCTCACCTATACCGATGAAGATATCAAACACTTGGCAATCTCAGGATGGACATACCCCAAGAGCTTCGGCATCATTCAAACTACATCTTTAACGTTCAACATACCTATCAAGCATTTTTTGAATATTTTCAATGATTATCAATGTGTTTCCTATGGTATACACACCATCCGATTAGTACGAGCTGGAGATGATAGCAACTGTTTCAAAATAGATGATACTGCTGGTACGCCAAAGACGGAAGTTGAGCTGGAAATTGAAAATATCGAACTGAAAGTTAAACTAATCTTCCCTCATGATCAATTAGATTGTAACTTTTAAAACCTATCCAAGCCGACACTCCTAATCTCATACCTTTCAGAAAATGGGAACTTCATATGCTGCTTGCTCTCACTCAAGGTGCAAAAAATGAAATAAGGACCGTCAAGACTTCCTCGTTTCTCGAAAACCCTCGCTATGTGATTGTATGTTTCCAAAAAGATCGTGATTAACCAAAGTCAACAATGATCCAACACAATTCAACTATATAAATATCACCAATATAACGTTGACTCTGAACGGTGAAAATTACCCCAAAGAAAATATGCATCTGAATTATGTATAATAAATATTTAAAATATTTCGTTCCTTTCTTTTAACAAACTTCACCACCTGATGATGCACGAAACGTTGCACGAAATCCCTTCATTACCTTCAATGCCGCGTGTTTTTATCCCTCCGCTCCCCCCATTTACCACCTAACATTTGGCAACGTTGCACAACCGAGTCAAATATAATTACAACATCCGAAATGCAGATATTCGATACAAAACTAACTAAATGATATGATACATACTTATGATTTCAATTTACGTCTTTTCCAGTACAAATTGTGACGTTAGAGTACCCGCAACCCTCTGCCATCTTGATTAATAACAAAGTTAGCCTCCTATGCTTTCAACACTTTTGCAAATGCCTAATTAGGTTCCTTGGCATCGAGACGAATCCATTGATGTCGAAATTATCGTTCGACCGAAAGTGAAAACCGGAAGTGACCATTTTATTGTAGATTTGGACTCTACACGATATGGCCATTCCGAATTCACCATTACTTTGCTTCTATCTCAATTTTTATAAACCGAAAGTGTTTATTTTTCGATGAATCGTACAAATCCGAAACTTTGTTAATTCATATATTTGACACATTCATCAAAGACAAATAATGCCTGGCATGTTGGATCCCACGAAAAAATATAAGACCCTCCTAACCTTTCATGTTGCCCGCATGCCATCTATGGTTTTTCTCCGTCATCTCCTGATGACGAATGTTTTTTTTTTCTTTAATGCTGGACGCCATGTTTTTTTCTTTAACGCTGCACACACTCTGCATTTCATGTATTTTCCATCAACATCCTGTATACCCATTTATTCTCATTCCAAGCGCGCTCGAATCGTTATCTTTCAAACCGCGATAACGCTGCTCGATTCTCTGTCGTACACCGACAACAACTGGTCGTGTGACAAATTACTTCGCTCTCATTGGCTGGTGTCATGAAACCGTCTTTGGTGATCTACTCCTACATAAATCCTACGACAGTAGATAATTGATTATCTCCCTCGAGATAAATCAATTTTCGATTTAGGAATATTTTGAAACCTTCTGTAAAATCCACAAAATTGCGATGTTTTTTCCGTGTCTGGTCCAAAACCAAGAAAAGAATGAAGATACGTTTTCTTTCTGAAGTTTCCAAATGTCGAAATGACATGAACTGTCATAAAAGACAGATGAATTATTTGTAGAAAAAAATGATATCTTATAAACAAACTTTGTGAATTTGCCGATTCCAGCAAAGATATGAAGACTTGTTTCATATTCCTGGCATATACAGGGTCATAATAAATCGTAATACGAAATGAATTATTTTTGTTTTATTTTAAGTAAACTATGAACTATGTGGAATTTTATAGACTTTCCCTTTCTCAATTATAAAATTTACTGGGGATTTACTAAAAATTGAGGTAGTCATTTTGAAACCGTAACAATATATAACATTAACGAAAATGAAGTGAATAAACAATAGAACCATTTTATAAACACATTCCTGAGAGGTTTATTCAGAAAAGGAAAAAAAAAATTCGTCAGAGATCAAGAAATTGATGAATGTAAAAATAGGCTAGAGAATTTGCTTATGATATCAAGATACCACATGGATTTGAGAGGAGCTTACAGTGCAACAAAAAGAATACAATAAATTTCTGAAAAAGAAAAGAGAAGATTTCTACCAAGAAAAAATCACATCTGATAATAAAAGCATAAAAATACCGAAAACATTTTTTTCCATGATTTATTCATTTTTGAAAATACACGTACTGAAAAAGTTGCAGCAGCTGATCCATTTGTTGACTTTAATGCTTATATAACTTTCAAACGATTATAAATACCACAATGAACATTCAGGTCATTTTTGTAGATAATTAAATTATCTTTCAAATGCCATCTTGCATATATTTTTTAGTTATTGTTAATTTGTTGTTTCAGGCATTTGTTTATAAAAATTAACGATTTCCTCGAGTTTTTTCAACTTTTCAGGCTTACAGCTCGGCAAATTCGAAGACCGAACTTCAGAGCAATTTTGTTAAACCATAAATTATCTTACAGTCGCAGTTGGTTATTTGTTTATTTGTTCATTTTTTTATGAGCTAATAATTGTATTATTTTAATTGGATTGTTCAATATTTCATATTCAGACTGTGGAATACGGACTAAGGTATACATTACAATTTTTTTCTGTGAGAATTGTTAATTCATTTAAATAAATTCTTTGATTTCTATAATTTGTGACAAAAAACTTTCCAGTTTCTTGTCATAAATTTCAGCTAAAAATAACAATTATATTAAGCAAAAAAACTCTGAAATGAAATTACAATAAAATAAAATTAAAGCAAACGATTGAAACTTGAACGATTGAACAAAAAAAAGAAAATGAAAATTGAATTATTTCAAGCCAAGTTACTTCAAGACGTTTCCATTGTTACTATCCGCAATCGTCTTTGGGGTGATGACAGCCATCACCAATATTAAAAATCGGTAACTTGGTTTGAAATCTTTCAATTTCCATTTTCGTTTTTTGTTTAATTGTTCAATTTTCAATTTTTTACTTGTATTTTATTTCATTGTAATTCAATTTCAGAGTTTTTCTCGCTTAATATAATTGTTATTATCAGTTATAAATTTTGATTTTCAATTGTATTGTTTTTTTTTACAAGTTTACAAGAAAAAGTGTGTCTCCAATGCAACTGTTAGAGTGCTCCAGTTATTCTCAACTTTGCACCCCAATTTGTTTGTTAATAATAAATACTTTTGATTGAACATATTCTAATTCACATTTCTGTTTCAGGTCATGGAAAGATCCGACTTGAACAAAATGAACGCACAAAATTTGGCTGTGGTCTTTGGTCCAAATTTAGTGTGGTCTGAAGTTGTGTCTATGTCCCTAGCTGCCATAGGTCCAATAAACTCATTTACCCAGTTTTTACTCTTGCATTTTAATGAGATCTTCATGATTTGAAGTTAGTTTTTGCGTTTTTGTCATATGATATTTGGTAATTGTAATAAAAATTAGTTGAAAAGTCATGATAGAGGCTAGTTTGTTTTTTTTTCTGATCGACTTTTTGGGTATCATGATTCTACTTCTGCATATTTCAACAATATTTATAATTAATCAGTTTAAAATATATATCAGTGAAATCATTTCCGAATGAAACTTCTAAATGTATTGCTAACTCAATGCAAAAATCAAACTTTCAGATTAGATTATTGTTCTTCATTTTATCGAAGAAATCGTTTAGATTCTCGCGAAATTTTGAGAATTCTTATCATGGGTCATTTTCATAAAGAACCGGGTAAGTTATGATTTCAATTTAAAATTAAATTGAAAAAATCGCTGAAGGTGGAAAGATTCGATCTATAAATTTCATCTACGAATTGTTTTTAACTCATGTTCAAGGAATATAATAAGGAATAAATAAATTGAATGAATCACTGAAATGAATTACGTGTTTGTTAGTGTTTATAAAAATTGATCAAACAAAATAATTGATGATTTCTTAGATGAATGTGTATATTATTAGATTGTTTCAAAAGTTTTGTGATTTATTATGAGTCTACTTTAAACTGTATTATCTCAGTGAATACTTAAATTCAATCGTGATAAGAGCCATTTGAATCAGTGTACTTTTGCTAACGTAAAAGTTGAATCATTCCGTCAGCATAAAAATTGGGTGCTAGGAATTTGATGAAGTCAACGAAGACCATTTTTGCATGGTTCTGATTGGCGATTCAAATCCAATGTGAATCGCTACTTCCGCACAGGCACCACTCTTACAGCGCCTTAAGGATTTTCCTGTGATGCTTGTGTTTTGTCCTTAAAAAAAGGTTCTACTGATGAGAAAGTTGCCGAAGTGCTTGTAAAGATAGTAGTCGATTGGCGAGGGGTCTGAGAGTATGGTAGGTATGGTAGTATATTTCAAGCTCCAATATCAATCAAATTGTGCCGGAATCATAAATGAGTTGAATATTAAAAACAAATTTACTTTTACTTCAGTTGAATATATACAAATGAGTTTTAATAAAATGAACAAACTTATTGCAGACATAAGAAAATATTGATATTTTCTGAGAAAGGCCAACTTTTTGTCGATACTTGGGAGACATTTGGCTTGTACTTCCTTTCAAGTCCCTAGAAAACACTGCAGGCTCATGGACTTTTTCTTTACATCTTTTCATAACACTGATTCGAGTTTATATATTTCTATACATAATTTTAGTTACTCATAATTTGTTTGCTGCCCTACATTCGCATAAAACATTGTTGGATTGCCTGCTAACCGCTCTGTTGTACAGCCCTATTTTGTCACAGGTCCTCTTATTGGACAATGTCCAGTGAGTAGCCCTGTAAATTATTCTGAGCCGATCCCTGCCCTGTTGAAGCTGTTCGTCAATTCTTTTGTCAATTCGAAGATTTTCCCATATTTTTTCCCAGGTGTATTTTCTTAGTTCTCTTCGTGTTTCTCATTGATATGTGTCCTGATTCTGGTACCTGATTTTGGTATCACATCATCTGGTTCAGGACCAATAATTGGAACACCACATTTTCAAATTGAATATCGAGGAATTATAATTTCTATTGAAATTTCCGTTTGAAGTTTATTTTTGGAATTGATCGAGTTTGGAGATGAATTTTTTTTATTATATCAAACTATACCTTCAGACTCACAATTATTATTAACCTGTTGCTCGTTCAAAATGTATAATTTACAAAACCGAACTTCTGTAGTTTGGCGAGAAGATTTAAATTACACATAATTATGCTTGTATCAAAGATTTATCTAGATTGATAGCGAAAAAAATTGATAAGAATTCAAAGAGAAAGTTCATTTGCAAAAGGTGTTTGAATTATTGGGTAGGAAAAATTATACAATGAAAATCATCGAAAAGAACAAAATTAGTTTCCAGTGGAATATAAACATTTTATGGAAAGTAGATGCTCTCATTTCAAATATTTTCTGATTTTGAGTCATTTAGTGTAAGATTTCATTTTGAATGTAATTAATTACAATGACGGTTTGTTATATTTCAAACCAGCGAACCGACAGGACTCCGCACGGGTGCAATGCTGATATATTTGCTAATCATAAATCACAATCATAGGGTGAAGTGCACTGTTAATAGTGCATATTGATCGATATCAACAGCACAATGTATTTAAGGTACTTCATTGGATAAGGATTAATACTGTATTCCTTAAAATCGCTCTGTAATAAGTCATTATTTCTCGAGAATATAAAATGGTTATTGTGATTTATCCCTAAAAGAAAAACATATATCATCCGCTGACTTTTATAATTCTCGATTATGCTAATACTCACAAATAATCCGATTTTCATAACTGAACCATTGTTGGATAGATAAAATTGTAAAACCTATTCAAACTCCCCATTTCCATTAAAAAAAATTACAGGGTCCTCTCGGCAACGAATGATGTATATGTATTGAAATGTTCTGAAAATTATGTATTTTTATGTAAACTTTGTACGACATCAAAAATGATCCTCCCGTATCTTTTTTATTCGAAGTACCATTCAATTTTTTTTCATGGTGTATAGTTTTCAAAGACGTATAACCAAATGATTGACCACTATAATAAAAAATACTCAATTCTAGTTTTAAGGATAAAATTTTAGACATTATTTTTCGAATTGAAAAAGTTCTTTGGCTTTTCAGAATCCTCATATCTCGAATACTATTCCTCATTTCCAATTCATGACTGAATTATAATTCGATCATTTCATTTTTATTTCTGCTGAGCTATATCTTTTTGAAAATTTTCGTGCAAAAAAGTGTGTTTGAAGCATTTTTCATGAAGCCATTTCACCTCAAAACACGCCATAAAAAAAAGAATTGCACTGAACTTGTCTGCTTTAATTTTTCAGTGAATGAAAAATTAGAATTGGAAAAGACATAATAATTTAGGTCTTACAGTAAATGAATAAATTCCCATCTCTATCACTATCTCGTTCGTAGGTTTTGTGATTGCGCGGGTTATCAGACAGATATTTCAGGCACGTCCATCTGTACATTATTATATTATTTTCATTCAACCAAAACTTTTTACTTATTTTTAAGTGTGAGTGAAGCCTCGCGGCACGAGTCCTGTAGCGGTTCTCCACCCTAAGGACGGCTGTGTCTCCCATAACTTCTCTCGTCGTTTTCAAGAAATTCAAAAAATCTTTCCAATTTAGATTTTGTAAAACGAAAGGCTCAGTTATTCAGTATACCACAACAATTATTCAGGTTATGGGAATATGACCTCTTTTAATTCACAGAACCAATTTCCCTGTAAAGCTTATTTACTACAGATATGTATGTTAAATAGTTCTACTATCAGGATGTATCCTGTTGAATTCCTCAGCAGCTTTTCGATAACTTATCATCTAGTAATCATATTATTTGATATACTCTTAAACATTCAAATGATGCATCAGTAATATAGCAATAGGAATTCCAGCTCAAAATCCCATGTATTTTCTTATGGCGCTTCATTTTGGCGTTTTTTGGACCTCAGGTCCAGTCCGCGTCTCGTCTCTGCCTTTCGAAACGACTCGATAAAAATTGAATGACAACGTGCGGTCCCTCAATGTGTACAGGGTGTCTCAAAATACATCATTTCAGAAAATGGTAGCAATGTATATACAGGACGTTTCAAACTACATCATTTGAGAAAAAAAAACCTGTCGGTTCAACAGAAGTCTAGCGTTCCAACATATCAGAAGGACACTCAAGTTATATCTTTGTTAACCAAGTCAGCATCATGAGGAGAAGGAGATGACACCCAAAAGTGTCGAGAAGTTATGTGTTGTGGAGTTAACGTGGGGGCAATGGGAAAGCGAAGTATTCGCTTTGCCTGCGTTTCGACCGTTTTTCATGCATTTCGACCGATTTGCGTTCGACCGTTTTGCATTCGTTTCGACCGTTTTACATGCGTTTCGACCGTTGTGCGTGCGTGTCGACCGTTTGCGTGCATTTCGACCGTTTTACGTGCGTTTCGACTGTTTTGCGTGCGTTTCTACCGTTTTGCGTGCGTTTCGACCGGTTTGCGTACGTTTCGACCATTTCACATGCGTTTATCCGTTATCGTTTCGTCATCATTGTCGTAGCCGTTTTCATGTTTCAATATAACAGTCATCTATTATTTAACGCGCTTCGCTAATCAAGTAAGCATCATCAGGAGATGACTCAAATCAATGACATTCAATCGGAATCTTGTGAAACACCCAACTCGAGGTAGGTGTGACGTAGTCGTCCCCACTCCTTCACTTCTGCCGTTATTCAGTCAACCAATCAGAATGAAGGAAACAGAAATCGGTTGGTTGATTGTGTTAGATGAAATTGTCTCGGAAATGAGGGTTGAATGATAATAATAATAATAATGATAAAAAATAAAAACTTTGAAAGTGACGTTGTCAACATGGAAGGTGGTGACGTGGTAGAAAATGTATGATAATTTGTGAAAATTGATGAGTTCAAAGAAAAAAAGATGGCGCAACATGTGCGTTAAGCCACATCTTCGTTAATGATAGTTGAATCTCAAGGAAACGAATACAGAAAGTATCTACAAAGAAAAAACAAAGATGGCGGAACATGTCAGAAGGACAATAAGCCGCATCTCCGTTAGTAATAGCCGGATCATCACGTACAACACGTCAAATGAAAGGGAAAGAAAAAGCAGAATTCGTCAATCAAAATGAAACAAAGATGTTGCCAAGAGGCACTAAGTCATATCTTCCTCAATAATAGTCACATTATCGCGTGTAGCACATCAAATGAAAGGAAAACGAATGCAGAATATATCGACAGAGAAAAAACAGATGGCGCAACATGTCAGAAGGGCACTAAATTGTATATTCGCAAATAAAAATCAGATCGTCACGCAGAGCATGTGGAATGAAACAGAAATTCACGCATAATTTATCGACAAAGAAAAGCAACAACTATGCCAACAGGGCACTAAGCCGCATCTTAGTTGGTAATGTTTGGATCTCAACGTGCAGCACATCAAATGAAAGGAGAGGGGCTATAGAATTCATAAAGAGAACTCAAAGATAACGTCATGTCAAAAGGGCACTAGTTCACATCTTCGCAGACAGATTATGATGTGAAGCACATGAAAGGATGTTAAAATTGATGAAGAAAACGTCATGTTGACATGTCAAATAGGCATAAGTTGTGCATGTGATGGAATAATTTCAAAATTAGTAAGAGAACCATATGTAAAGTTGTAGAGATCTGAAAAAAAAAATGAAAACTTGATTATCCACCTTTGACATATCATGCAAAAAATAAACACATCCGGTAATGATAGAATCATCGTTTACTGAAACATATGATATATTTGCATTCCTTAGGGTGAGAAGGTTTCAAATCCGTCAAAAACAGGTCACTTTCGGTTTTCACTTCCAGTTTCCATGATTTTGACATAAATAGATTTGTTTCGATGTCAAGAAACATAATTAATCATGTTCCGAAGTCAAAAGGGTCTCATAACCTATTTCCGTTATATTAGATACAACAGGCCGATGTGGGTACTCATTTCAAATGATTTCATTTGTAGACTAAGAAAAATATTATATCGAGCGTCTAATCTGGAATAGCACAGAAATAATTGCATATTAAAAGAAAATCATTGAAAAAAACTTGAAATTGAAAGTTGTTGGACTATGAACAACTACGAGTGTTCAATTGCAGAACTTTGAATCACTATCAAACCAGAAGAAACCTTGAAGTTTTGGAGACGAGAAATTCCAAAATTCACAAGACATGTTTTCACTATCACACTGTCACCCTTAAACTGCATAGATTGACGTGATATTGTGGGGGAATGGGTTTGGAAATTTCTAAAGTAGGAAGGAATTATTCATAAATTGAAAAAACAATATACTAGAATATATTTATTGATATCTGATCATTCCATATGTTCATAATTACACTTTTCAAGTATCGAGACTTTTGTTGTTATCAGAGTTTTTTTGAATCTCTTTACCTCAAATCTACTAATGATATGATATGAAAATCTTTTGTCGCCTGAACCAAGAAAGCGTATCGTGCGAGTCTGGAATTATATAACGTTTATCATCTTCAGGGCTGAGAGCAATTTTGTATTGGGCGATGGAATGTTCTTGATGTTTATCGGATCGAATCAAATTTTGGGTGACACTCATATTTTTCCAGTTATCTAAGCAATTCACATAATCATCGAACGTTCATCATTCTTTAACACAGAAGATTTGCCCCCTTTGCCTTCTTGGTAACCCCCAGGCATGAGATGATTTGATTAATTTCATCCTTATCATAGCCATGATTTACCAACTGCTGCCGCTTCTTGTTGATACCATCTTCCGTCACCAATACCCTAGTAGTATACAATTTTGATCTGAGGCCTACGTAGTCAGTCATCGGAACTGCGTTATTCTCATCTTTCATCATACCTAGAACCTTTCTATTCACCAAAGGAACGTCAAACTGATTGTTGGAAGAATATGTGACAATTATTTCATAAGGATTCTGATTGCATATTTCGCATGTAGCCATAATGAAAATCGTATACGGTGAGTCTTTGCCAAATTTAACATAGTATCTCCTACTTGTGTCGGTTCATTTAGTTAAACTTGCAGTTTCCTCAATTCGACTGCCACCAAATTCTTGTTGAAGATGCAATTTTTGAACTCTGTGTTACTCATACACACTTCCAAAACTACTCGAAAAAGAAAACCTCTCAAAGAGTGGGTAGATTAAGATTCAAAAACTGTGAAGAGTGATTGAAGAGAGCTGTATAATTTCCAACGAGAAAACTACACTTCGGTTATGTTTCGGAGTGAAACAACAAAATAAATTGGGCTCTAGTTCTCTATTTCAATGTTATTCAAACAAATAGCCTGGGGTAACCGATATCGTTATACCAAGTAAGAAATCCCCTTTGAGGTATTGATATCAAAAGTTCACAAGAGTAAGTATATAGTATAGGAGGACAAGATATATGTGGTAGAAAAAAAACTTTATTTAGTTTTAGCCAAGTACGGTATGGATAACGATACAGCTCACTCGTGATGGTTATTGGGTTTTCCACCCTGGGTACAGCTTCGAAGGAGAATGTTGCCTTGTCGAGAGTGCTAGCGTAGAAGGGTGGGCCTAGGCATTCGAACGAAGCGTCCAAAATATTCGCTACGCTATCACTTCGACTAAATGTCCAAATTGGAGAGAGATTGCGCTTCTTTCGGTCTTTGTGGACCGACATTATGAAAGGGGATATTTTTGATGTTTGTAATGATCGTTTTTTTATCTTATTCGTATAAATGAAGTTTTCGAAACCATGTTTACATTATTTCATTATTTGACATATTATAGATGTTGAAAAAATGACAACCGTCATTTCTTATCGAATATTGTCTGTATGCAACTCGAAAGCCTCGTGCAAAGAAAGAAAAACTAAAACGGTGTGACGTAATTTAGTTATTAAGTGAGCTGTTAGATAGGTATAACACCGGTTGCACAAGAATAACTATTTATTATACAAACTGAACATTGAGCAGAAAGCCTTTTAATCTGTTGATCACAGAAAGGATATGACCTATGGCACGCATATGAAAAACTTATTTTTAATTTTTGAATTCGATTAAAATATAGTATTGAATATTAATAAATAATGAAATTTGGAACAATCATGAAATACAAATCAATTCAAAGAACTAAGATTAAAAAAGAAAGGAAAGAAGAAAAAAAATCACATCAAAGGTGCTGCTTCGTTCCCTCTTGTTCATAAAAGAGGACATACGCCTCATCGCTCAGAAGTGATTTGGGCGAAATACTGGTTAGTATTCTCACTTGCACAAATAAAATGAAACACTTTTTCTAACGTATTCTAAAAACACTTCATTGTGAGATTTTCACTAGACAGTTTTACAAAAACGCAACACGTGATTCGCCATACAATGGCTTCCTTAGACAAATGGTAAGTACTCTTACCATTTGTCTATCTCACCCTTACCAGCATGAAGTTGTTGCATTCAATAGTATGCTTCACAGATTATTGAATATTCCACTGTCTGATAGGAATTTCCAGAAAGAGCCGAATTTGATCAAACAAATCGCGGTTAATAACGGTTATAAGGTAGATATTATAAACTCCATTCTTTCCAAAAAACTACAAAAACAAGCCATGGACCTGGTCTACCCATATTCGAGATGCGATAACGTCAGTTATAGGACATTAGCATATTTGGGTGAACCAATCAGGAATACTTCCCGTTTTTTGAAGAAAGAAGGCGTGAACGTAGCTTACAGAACGAATAATAATCTCAGTAAATTTATTAAAAAAAATAAAGATAAAACTTCGGTATCGGATAGATCAGGAATATATAAGCTGACTTGTGGCTCTTGTCCAAAACTATATATTGGCCAAACAGAAAGAACATTTTAACAAAGAATTAAAGAATTTTTAAGTAGTTTTGTGAATAGAAAGACCAATTCCACATTCGCAAATCACGTTTTAGCAGAAGGTCATGAGTTCAATTATGAATACAATGTGTTACATTTAGAAGAGAAGAGTTTGAAACTCAATCTTAGAATGTTTAGAAATCAATAGATTCAGGAATTCGGGTAATTTACTGAATAATCAATAATAATTGAATAACTTTCCGTTACTGAATATTTTTTCAAATGTGGAAAATGGAACATAAGCTTAGGTAATTTAATTCATTACAAACTTAGGTAAAAAATCAGATACTTGAAATTCAGGTACTTTAAATTGTAGCATGTGGTGTATATATCGTGGGGTGAGAACTACAACTAGGTAACTACAAATTTGGCGAAATCTGGATAAGTGCACATATGAATTCCATTAGGTGAGGCCCACACCATACTACAACTAGATATCTGTTGTAGACATTTTACAGGAGTTATTTAGAGTTTTCAAAACTAGATAAGTTGATGATCAGAAAAAAAGTAGAAGCCCGCAACTACGTTTTGGAGCCCGACTGCGGGTTTCGAAACGAAGCCCGAGTATATAACAACCATTGGATTCCCCTTACTTCTCAACCCAAGTGGACCAATTTTTGGGAAGGCTTCACAACGTGCTACTTATACATACACTCATACAAAAAGTTTGCAAAATAATGCGGTAGGGGGCGCTTTCGTGTATACTTTTTATACATTTGAATGTATAAAGCCGCTGGGCTTGAAAACGTGCGTGAAGTTTATTCTTATGTGTATACCATCGGGCGTAAATCATATGTTGTTAGAAGTAAGAACAACTACAGTATTGAAGAAATATCATTCCGAAAACAAAATTCAATGCGGTTTTTAGTATAATCATTTATTTTTATGAAATAAAACAAATAAATTGTGTTATAATAAAACACATTGTACCTAAATAATGTTAGATATTTCTTTATCCCATTTCCTGCAACAGGTATTACAGATTTGAAGAAAAAAAATGTTTAACTACTGAAAACCAAACAAATTGAAAAACCAGAAAATAATACAAGATAATAACTAAAATATATTTCAAATTATGAAAAAATGAAAATACAAACAGCTACATGAGAAAAGGTACAAGAGTATATACTACATATTATACTTGGTTAATACTTTCAATACATTCTATTATATTTATAATTAAAGCTGAAAATGACTAATTATAATTAATAAAACATTGAAATAAAATTAAAAAAGTTGTATTACTTTTTAATAGCAATAAACTAAACATATTTTACTTATTAATTTAAAAAAAGTTTATACCAGCGTGATTACAAGTCTAGAATGTTTGAAGTATATTAGAAAACGTTTAACCTTTATAACAGTTATAAACAAAAGCTTTTACTGTGGCCCATGTCTTATCCTTGAATAAATCTTTATGTTTTTTCATTATCAACTCGGCTTCTTCTTTTCTCGGAGCCTTTTTGTTTTTTATGTGTTCTTTGAAAGCATTTTTCAATAAATTTTTTTGCTCTGAATTCCACTTTCCTCGCTTGCCTTTTCTTATATTATTTTCCCTTTTATCTAAAACATAACACAGTTGATTTTTTATTCCACGTTCTGTGAATTAGGTCTCCAACATTCTTAGTTTTGGGTAAGGAAAAATAAATAATTACCTAAATCTGCATTTTTTATTGCTTGTTCTCTGAGCTCCTGTTTCCATATCTCTTCTATTTCATTTTCACTATCATTTTGTTTTCGATCTAAAAACAATATAATATATAAATCTTCATGCCAGCATATTAATTTTTTTCTATTAATCCAATAAACTTCATTTGCTGCTAAATTTACATGGTGAGTAAATCATATTTCAAATTCCTCGATATTTCGTAGATACTAGTTTACGTAATTACTGATAATTGAAACATCTAAATTTTTTTTTAACAGGGCGAATTTTGAAAATAAACTGAAATTTGAAATGTTCATTGCACTATCGCTTGTGGTACTAATATTTCAGTTATGAATTGACATATTGATGTTCTAACGAAATTATCAATAATAAGTGAATGGAATTTACTTTTATGATTTTTAAAAAACTTCATTGTTAAAAAAAATAATTTTAGTACTTCAAAAGAAAATAAATAATTATGAATTTCTTACCATGCAATAAAGGTTTTTCTGTTTCAGTCTCATCCAGCAATGATTCATTGTCTGACAAAGTTATTTCGTCAAGAGACTTTCCTTTATACTTTCCTACTTGTCCACTATTAATGGCGATAAGTAATTTGGAAACTTTTGCGGTCTGATACAAGTCTTGAGGAAGCCTACGAGACAGTACTAGTTAAAGTATTAGAAGTATGTACATTCGAGAATGTAGTCAAGTAGACTGGCCTTTAGTTTCTGTTTTTTAAAAGGGGATTTTAAAACAAAACTTTCTCTTTGGAAAAGTATGCGAAATACGAATAATGTCAAAAATAGATAATAAGAGCAGTTTTAAAGGCATAAATAAATATTTTTGGCCTAATGAAAACGGTTTTATTACACATTAATTTTTTTAAATCCAGAATATAATACTACTCGATGTTGGTGTAACCTGTAAACGCAATAAAATTAAGATTCTGAACCCTAAATACTATTTTGAAAGTATAGATTCGATCCACTACGGTATAAAAAAAATTAATTTTTTCTTCAATTGTAAGTTGTTGTATTTATATACAAATAAACTTAAATTGTCATTTATTTGTGTCCTGTGAATTGTAATTCATTATTCACGATTAAATAAGCTACATCATTATACTTGATGAAACACAAGTATATGTAATTTTTAAATACATAGTCGTTGATAAAAACGATAAAAAATGAAATTTATAATCACCTATAATACGATTCGTGTGTTTTTTTGGTGTGTCCCATGAAAGTAGCGAACTGCTCCATTTCGTCATCCTTAATACTGATTGCTTGCAATACTGTGGCAATTTGTTTCCTTAAACGGGTTGATGTAAACAGAGATGTGTCCGTTACATTAGCCTTCGTCGCCATCTTTTTCACAATATGATACCCACTTAACCACAGCTCTGTGTTAGGATTACCAAATAAATACGGATTGTATTCCGGTACACAAATACTTCGGAAACTTAGAAGAAGTTCAATAAATTTATGAAGGTCCGGTGGAAATAAAATTGCAACAGGTCTGCTCCCTTTTCCACCTGTCACTACTCTTTTATAATTCTTGCACAACGTTTGTTCAGTTTTTGAAAGACAATCTAGAAACTCGGTTTGCTGGTTTTCACTGACGTTTAAATTATAAGTCTCGGTTTTCAGATATTGAATTTCCCCAATGCGCTTTCTATTTATTAATAATGTCAATGCTAAAACAGACTCAATCAGTTTTCGATAGTTCAACTTAACGTCGATATTCTTCTTTAACGCATCTGAAGCTTCATTGGCTTCGTTCATTACAAAAGTTTGAAATTTCATAACATCTTGGGTGAGTGGCAACAATTTTGGAGTAGCATAATTAATTTCCTTCAAATGTTTCAGTGCAAGGCTTGAAATCTCAGATGTCCAATGGTTTTCAATAAGATTTTTCAAGCGCTTAATGTCTTTTAAACTTTCTTCAGCATTAGCACAAGATATAATAGGACTTTTTTTNTAGAGGAGAATACGTTTCTAAAATTTCCTTACTGGTGTTGTCTGGGGGCGGTTTTATTTGTATATCTTCCAATATAACTATTTTTTTTCTTTTTTTTCATTGGGTTTCTCAATGTTTTGTTTTTTAACTAGTTGAACACCTATTTCTTCTTTATCTATAAAATCATAGACATCTTTTAGCTCGCCTTTTACACTAGCTGGCAAACTTAGAAGGCTCAATGCTTTATTTCTATAATATGTTTGTAAACCTTTTGTTGTTTCGTATTCTGGTAAAAAAAGCAGACTACTCTCGTCACGCCTTGTCAGATTTAGTATTTTTTCTGTTCGTTTACTCATGACTAATCGAAGTTAATTTATTCTGAAAAAGAG